AAATATATTTGATTTAAAACAGAAAAATCATCGATCATCTGAAGTATTGCATTAATCTTGTCGTAATTTTTTACTGTAAGTAAATTATCTGGACGCGCCCTCAATTAGGCTGATGGAAACCGTATGTTCAGTAAATTATTATGATTTCTATTACGTTAACCTTTTTTTACTTCATATCGTGTTCTGTTATATGCAGTGAGTCAGTAACACGTCATCAATGCCAACTCCCTTTCTTTATGGTTTGTATGAAAAATTCAGGGCGCCAGAACTATCTTAAAAGGCACATGGGGTGCTTAAAAGGAAAGTCAAAAATATAGAAAAAGGGCGTTGAAATTTGTCTGGACAATTTCTTTGTATTATATAATTAATTCCTGTAAACAAACTTAGGTTACAATTTAATTATGAAGCAGACAACTTTCTAGAAATTAGAAATTCAAAATTTCTATTGATCAGATCACAAATTTGAATGAAAGTAACTGGTGTGATTTTACCTAGACTACAAGAGTTTTAAGCTTTTTATTGCCTTCAATAAAATCCGTCACATTCAGTTGTAGAAATATAAACGCGTTGATTGACACCACAAGAATTCCGAGCAAACACACGGTAGTTTCCAATTTCAGCGTAATAGATCCTTGAATACTTAGGGTTAGTTAAAGTAGGTTGGGTGTCAAGTTAACCATGTTGATTACTCGAGTTAAAGCGACTTAAGTTCTGTCGGAGTTTTTTTCGCGCAAGTCATAATCACACACGCAGCCACTTTAACTTTTGCCAACGAAAACAATTCGTGCTCACATCACTCGCATGTTATTCCTTTTAGATCATCACATTGGCGTTAAGTAGCTCATTCAATTTCAAGCTTTTTCGTACTAACGGCTCACTGATTTTTTGTACGTACTTTATCTCCCATTGTGAATGAACGCTTTGTGAACGTACTTGGTCAGAACTAAACGATCGTGTACATTTTCCATGAGCTCGAATACAACGAATCCTCTGTACAGTAGCGGATCGAAGACACCTCAGAATAAATCATATCTCCTCAATTTTAAATTCAAATTACATTCAGAAAAACACTATTGGTTTTTAATTTCTAAAGAATATAGTTTTACCTGTGAATTTACCTCTACGGTGTTTAGAAATTTAAATATTCGCCAAAATGCGACTCAGTAATTTATTTTGAGGTACTCTAAATCCCAGTCACTGCCTCTGTACTCATAGTTTTTGTACTTGATCTAGCTCATGTATTTTAAAATATTAACCACGTGCAAGTATAAAACTATCAAAGGTAATACTATCAGAATTGAGCTATTCGTGATGCACTACGGAAGATGAAGTGAATCATGCATATAAGCTAAACATGCATGACATTTTCTAATAAGAAAAGAAACAGTTGTTTTGCTTATATGTATCGAAAATGCAAGAAGAATCAAGTCTAAGTCTAGTTAAACTAATTTAATGTCTTCTCAGAAAAAAGAAATTTGGAAATTGGCTCGTAATTCATATGAAAAAAACCGGTATAAAAGTAGAACAAATTAACCAACCATTGGCGTCAATCCTGTATTAATTTTTTTTTAGGAGGGGGGGCATATTCATACATTCTGGTATGCCTGGCTAATTTCTTCTTAAAACAATTTCTGGTCCCCGCACTTAATTATTGCAGGGTTGACGCCAATGAAACCAGCAGTAATTCATGCATATTAAATTTCCTAAATGATGATTAAATCATGTAGTAAATTGATGCAAGATTCAGATCTTTCGTCAGTTTAATGGATTGAAAAGAATTCCATGTTCATCTAATGCAGTGGCTGCGTATATAAGTCCAATTAACTTTTAAAAGTGTTTGATTTTCTTTCAAGGCATCCATTTGTCATTTGGCATGGCCAATAATGGTAGAAGTAGCTCATTGTTAGAAATAAGTTCAGTTATAAGCCTTAATTGTAAGATATTCTGAAAATATATACAATCTTGCTATTTCATTTGACCTAAGGGGCATTAAAATTCAGGGTGACATGTGTTCTGAAATGTTCGCATTAAATTTAAGTTCAAATTTGAAAATTGATGACAAAATTCAGACAGCCAAAATAAAAATTAGGTATCAGATAACAAAATAGATTTTGAACAGCTTTCTCCAGTCTTGTGTTTTTTCTCTGTATGGTTTTCTACTGTTGAAAAAACGTACATACTGGAAAAGTCACACACTAAGTGCTTCCACCGAAAATGCAACAGATATTTATGAGAAAGTTTAAAATGAGAGAAAAATATTTACATGTTATTGTTGCGAAAATTATGAGAATATCTGCAGTAAAGGTCAATAGGGTATTTGATTTGGCGTACGACAATATATTACTGTAGATAAAATTGTAGATAAAATTGGACAGTAGGTGAAGCAGCCATAGCAGACCAGTCCCCCTATTTAGGCAGTTATGGTACATCGTCCACGATCCCATCTCATAAATAGAGCAGTTGATGATAAAGACTTAGATGATATCCAAACTCAAGATTTAAAAATTTGTCTACATTATTTACGAATAATCATATTTTAAATTTACTTTCAGATGACATCGTGGCTCCTTGAAGAATATCGAAAAACTTCTGTAAGAATCCAGCCAACTTTGAGACGTCTTCGTAATCTACGATACGGTGATGGTGGAAGGATTTTTTCAGATTCATGTGTGTCACAAATGACTGAAATCGATTGTGCAGCAATTTATTGCTCAGCAAATGAAACTGAGCTCTTGGTAAAAATGGATAGTAATGATTGTCATCAGGTTGTCAGTGACTGGTAAGTTATGAAAATTTTTTTTACACGTTTGTCATGTATGAACGAATTTTTCCATCCATTATCATTCGAAGTTCGATCTACTCAGTACACATATCATTAATTGTTTCACGAAATCTGGGACTTGCTGACCGGGAAATGTTACAAGATGTTAAATAAGTTTTTATGCTGCTTACAACACTAATTTTGATTATGATTAACGTAATTATGTTGTGCATAAAAAACTGTATTGCATTATTCACGGCTCGTTATACACGCATAGTGCCATATAGTACTGCACACTTTATTTAATTGTTATCTTTTGCAGTATCGACGAACCATTCAGAAGATTGTCAAAATCGACTAGTGCTTGGAATGTTTTGAATACTTTGAGAAATCAACTTAAAACAAATTGTGACACTTTTGCTGCGCCCTCATCCGACTTGAGACCTGAGCCTCCACGGATTTACAAGAAATCACCTACAAAAAAAAGTGCTGGAAACAGAGAGCACAAAGCCATTGGAATCCTCCCCTTCGTCTTTTTTGCACTTATGAAAATGCTTTTAATTGCTTGAACTCGAGATGAACCAAACTTTTTTTATATTCGTATATAATCCAAAAAACTTCACATATAGTTAATGCAGTATAGTAATACTTGGTGTTAGACTGAATTGTATTTGCATGATTTTTCAATTTTTACAGTTATTAGCTATTTTGCAAGGTTCTTCTTCATGATGATTGTATTTGTTGTTTTCACGTCTTAAATGAACTTATAATAACAAACATAAGAGTAAGAATATTGATGTCTTCTTCTGCCAAGTGAAAATATGTGTCTGTAAAAGGTACAAATCCTTGTACATTGAACTGGACATTGAATGAAAACGTAGCAAAAGTTTATGAACAACAAGATGCGAACCACATCAATCTTTATGCTTAGTTATAAACAATTTTTCATACAGTTTAAAAGGTAAAGTACTTCAGTATTTATGAAGAAGTATATAAAACTGCTAAAAACAGCTTGAGAGATATAGCAATAACTTTAGTCAAGGACACGTATAAGTGTTTGCATGCACTTCATTTACTGAAATAAATCTCAACTATTTTTGGGTAAAATGAACATGATAAACATCATGGTATATGTGCCAATTCTTCAATTCGGGACAAGAGTAACTTCAGAAAAAATAGAAATAATCTTTCTGAAGTGTTTAATATGTCTAAAAGGTTTACTTTTAGGAATGGTCATAGAAGAGAAAATTTGCATAAAATCTATAATTACCAAGAGAATTACCATATATGCACATTCTCTAATCAAATGAAATTTTGTATGAATTGACAAATATTCTTAAATTTTCAGATTTTCAGGAAAAATAATAAGAGATGAAAAAGAAGACTGTCTTCGAATAATAAGAAGAATACAAAATTTCTAATATCTTACTAAAATATTGTATTGAATTTAAAAACTTGAGATTGAGGTCAGAGTTAGTTTTGTTAATGCAGAGTGCTTCTTTGATTTTAAGGGAGAATGAGGTGTCGGCAGTGTCGATGATTTTGAAGCAGAAGGGTGAATAGTTGGTTTTACATGAGTGAGATTTAGGAAGGAGTCGGTAGATGTGAGAGTTTTTGTCTGTTGTGGTATGTTCCCTGATTCTGGTGGATAAATGGCGCGAAGTTTCGCAAATGTATCGGGCATTACATCCCGCGCAATATACCACCATTGATTTAATTGCATCAGGGATTGCGTTTTAGAATGAGAAAAGTTTTTTTATTTTGAATGATGTGAAAATTTGTCGAAGAATGTGCAACTCTCGAGAATGTGCAACCCTCGACCTTCGGTCTCGTGCTTGCACTGATCTGCTCTAGGTTCTCCAAAAGGTCTCCGAGGATTGCGAAAGCATGTGCAAAAACACAGTAAACATCTTTTATTTATTCCAAAAATTGACCTCCGTCCCAATGTCTTCGGAACACGAAAAATAATCACAATCACAACTTTGAGTTCTTAAACAATTTTTTGTTGTTACTCCTAAAAGTATCTCGCTTCTCTCGCTTGTCTCGCCCCCTCTCACTTCCGTTCTCTGCTCTCTCTTCTTCCGTTCCACCCATGTTTTCTACATTGTTCCTTATCGTCCCCAACGTACCTGAATGTAGAATTGAAACCCAACACAACTTTAACATAATTTGTAACACCCTCCCCCACATGTGACTACGAATGAGTCACATGTTATATCACTTTGTCTCGAAGTTTATTTCATTCCTGTTCCATTAGCTTCTGATTTAACGCGTCCGCAACCACAGCAGCTTGTCGTCTTGGTCTGAATTCTTTGGCGTTCACTCGCAACTCCTTTAAATGGTTGCTGACGTCGCATTGTAATTCTAAAGGATAGATCAGTTGGATTGGTCTCTTAAGAGATATTTTTCCACACTGAAGTTTGAAACCTCTCACAACTCGACTTTATACTTAATCGGACCGGCGAAATCGACACCAATCACTTTACACGGTGTGGTTCCTTTTGTTCGAGTCTTCGGTAAAGGAGCAGGTACTGGAGCTTGATACGGTTTGGTCGTGAATCTCTTGCATCTGTAGCATCTCTTCCTTTGATTTTTGACTAGTCGACGAAGCCGAGGAACCCAATACCTTTCAGGATCTTTGCCATTGTAAGTATAACTCCCCCATGGAGTGTTTCCAAGTGTGCATTTCCCACTAACTTCACTGTGAATAGAGCGTCATCAGGCAAGTAAATAGGGAGCTCTCCTTGTATCCGACCGTGACATCTTAAAATCTTGTCATCGTCGGGTTGTACATTTAACTGAATCAGATCCGTTTGAGACTTTGGGTTTTCTGCGACTCCAGCTTGTACCATTTTTATCCATGACATGTGTTGCTCTTCCACTTTTTCAGATGTCAGTGGCCCGTGCCTTATATTATCTCTGTTTTGTCGAGCATTATCAATAAATCGTTTCACCCACGCCCCAATACGAATCGCCTTTCGCAATGAATGTTTTGAAGAACATCACTTAATATTGCAAAGTTTGACCGCTGGATAGCCGTGCTCAAAACTACTCTCGCCGCCTTTGCTTCACTTTGGGAGTCAATCGACGGTTTGATTGTAAGATCTGGTGGCCAGAGACTACGCTCTGATAGCCAGGCAGGACCTTTCATCCACATCTCGGTCAGTTTGCCACCTCTGCTTCCGAGGTCGGCCGAATTGTCGGTTGTTGGCTTATGGTGCCACACGATCTTATTAGCAGCTCGGATTTTTTCCACTCTATGGGACACGAATTGTTTATAATCACCCTCTCCTTTAATCCAATATAAAGCTACAGTACTATCTGACCAGCATTGTTTCCTGTGTGGAATGTGCCTCAGTGCAATGCTAGCATTCGAGACCAAATTTGCGGCCATATCACTTGCAACCAGCTCTAACCTCGGGATAGTCATTCCTCTCTTGGCAAGTCTTGATTTCGCTGCCAGTAATTCCTGAGTAACTCTAGATGGTTTAGCGACCGTGTAGACGACTGCGCACAAACCTTCACCACTGGCATCCCCAAATCCATGAATCTCTAAGCTACAGGGTTCTTGGAATGAAAGAACAGATAAGGTGTTTTCCCACTTTTCCCAGCTCTGCTTCAATTTACCAATCAATTCCGCGTCCCAAGGTAATTTCAGATCACACACCTCTCGATAGATTTATTTGTTTTGCAAAAGCAGAGGGGATGCAATTCCCATTGGATCATAAATCTTCGCCAGTCGACTTAAAATGTTGCGCTTTGTTGGCAATTTCCCACAATGTTCTATTTGTACACTTAACGTGTCTTTCTCTTTATTCCACGTTGTACCAACGATCTTCGTCTCAGTTGGCTGCACCCTAAATTGTTGTTTGGCCGCTGTTTGCTCTTCATGATTTTTGTTAACACTACCTTCATCCAACTCCTTTGCATTTGATGCCCACTTACGAAGGATAAAGGTTGCGTCACCCAGATTATCGATAGCTTTCAATTTCTTTTTTCGTGCTTCATCCACCGTGCATCCTCCTGAAATGATGTCATCAACGTACAGACACCTTCTCAGAGCCTCGACTGCGTCTGGATCTTTGCTTTTCCAGTGATAGAAATGCGTTTCAAGAACTCCCCTAAGTAGGATTGGAAAAGAAACCGATCCAAACAATACTCTCGTGAACCGTAGTACTTCTACATCAGCCTGTGAATTTGGTCGCCAGTGAAATCTTAAAGAATCCCGTTCACTTTCGCGTACACGAATTTGGAGAAATGCGTTTTGAATTTCCCCAGTGATTGCAGCAGGGAAACTTTGCGCTCTTACCAGCACTTCCCACAGCTTGTTTTTTAGCGAAGGTCCCGCGTACAGGCATTCGTTTAAAGAAGGACTTTCTGGTGAAGCTTTTGCTGATGCATCGTACACCACTCTCAGTTTAGTGGACTGCGCTGACTCGCGTTCGACTTCTTTGTGAGGTATGTAGAATTCATTACCTTTTGCTACGTTAGTTGCTGGTTAAACTATGCCATTGTGCTTTGGTCTTGGATTACTGCGTTGTAATCTTCAGTCAATTTCTTTCCCTGTAATCATCGCTCTAAAGATTCCAACCTTCTGATGCTTCCTGTTTCGTTCGATGGGAGAGGTGGATGATTTCCGCGCCATGGAAGACCGGTCTCGTACCAGCCCTCCGGAATCGCGTTAATTGCTCTTTGAATTCGTTATACACCATTGATTGGTCGTGTTCAGTAGTGTCTGCTAGGCCCAGCACATCCAACCTGCAGAGATCTTCATAATCCTTCTGCGAAATTTAGGTAAGCAACATCCTTTTACTGTTTGGTTCCACATCAGGGCTCAAGGCAAACTATCCGAGTTTTGTTTTTTCTGCAATTGGTTGCCCCTCAGTTCCCACTAGTGGATTCGTGCGAGTTTTTAACCGTGCATATTCCCCGCTTGCCAAAACGATATGGACAGGTAATTGAGCTTTCTGATCATTATCAAAAAATTTTGCATTCTTCAAGTGTTCAAACTCTCTTTGTAAGTTTTTATAATGTGGATTGTCCACTGTGAGTAACTCTTCTTTCCCCAACTTGATCAACTTCATCTTCATTGAATAATCACTGTCTATTGCTTCAACTTCCCTTCATAGATTTCCAGTCTTGTTGTTTTTGATGTTAGAAGCATGTGAACTTTAGTAGTTTGTGTCTCAATTGGTTTCACCCTCAGCATAGATGCAAGTCTACCAGATATGTATGACCTTCCAGCCCCTGAGTCAATCAATGCACGACATGTAATTCCATTTATCTTGACAACAAGAATGGGGAAAATTCCTTCACCAGTAGATCCATCTGTAGTCAACACAGTCTGACCTGTTTTTAGTGGTTCTTCTTGATTGGTGACATCACATATGCTCGTATGGTGTCGTTTGAGGCAATTTCTGCATGATGACTTGCTGGGGCAAGCGTTAGCAAGATGCTGTCCTGCTGTACAGTTGAAACAAAGTTTCTTCTTGACTAAAATTGCTCTGCTCTCCTTGACAGTACTGATTACTTTACATTCCCCCGACTTATGATTTCCCTCACAGTAGACGCACACCCCCTTTTCTTTGGTATGAAAGACTTTCTAGATTTCCATCCAGGTGTGTCTGACTCTTTCTCACAGACTGGATTTCGCCTGGTCCACTGTCTGACTGCTTCAGTAAGCTTGGAAAAGTCCCAACTTTCCCATTCTGGATCATTTCTAACAAGGTGGGGACCTTATGGCTGGGAGTTTGTCTAGAGTCATGGAAACATTTCCTTGGACATTTTTCAGTTTACCCAGCGTTTCCAAACTGGACACTGTGATTTAACTTCTCACTAAATTCGGCAATCTTTCTCGGCTTTGCTCCGGAGATATGAGGAAAGCCCATGATCTCTTTTATAATATATTAATCCTAACACGGTTTTAATATGCACATGAAAAACATGTGTCTTTGACGAGATTTGAACTCGCATGATCTCTTTTATGTAAGCTTTTATAATTTCCGAATTCTTCCCATAGTAATCTTTTAAAATTGACTTCGCTCTATTGTATCCTTCGGTGGTAAACGGTAATGATTCTACTCGTCGCTTAACTTTGGGCTCAAGGACACCACACAGATATGTGAATTCGTTGATGGCAGCTATATTTGACTTGTCCACCGTCTCCGTAAATTGCCCCCAAAATCTGGGCCAATCCATGTATTCCCCCTCAAATTTCGTAATATTTATTTTTGGTAATCTTACCGACATACCTTCATCACTTATTTTTGAGTCCTCGGACTTTGAATTTTGAGTTGTTGCATTGATTTGAGCTTGTGTTTCTTGAAGCTTTACTTCAAATTTAATTTGCTCCTCGCGAGCGTGATTTTCCTCTTCTAATTTCCTATTGTTCAGCCAGTGTTGTAGCTTGTTTATTTCGTCTTCGGCTTCGCTTATTTTTGTTTCGATTTCCGCATTCCAATCGCTGATTTCTTCAAGGTCGTCTTCTCTTTCGATTTTCGCTGCTTCTACAGCTCTTTCAAAATTGTCAGCTTCGTTTATAGTTGTTTTGAGTGCGTTCAGTTGTCGTTCGATAGTTTCTCGCTTTCCCGAATCTAATATTTTAGCTGTTCTTTGAGCAGATAACTTTAGTTGAGTTAATTTTATATTGAGTTTTTCTTCGTCATTTGCCATGCTTGTATGTCACGCGTAATATCTCGTACGAAATTTTCACAATAACAATCCTTCGTCGGTAGGTGCCACGTTGCATTTTCCAAGTTTCTTTATAGGCGACCTAGTAATCTGTTTAAGTTTTTTATTTAATCGATTTATTTAAGTTCTAAAACAGATTATAAAATGGCAAGCGTTACTTCCGGCTGAATGGCGCGCTTTGATTGGCTCAGAAACATTTTTGACGGCCATTATTTTCCCATAATCAAAAACGGTACAGAACACGTAATTTTACTGACAAATGTAAACAAACTTCGTAAAGCAAAAACAGCTAAACGCAAAATAAACGAAACAAAAAACCATTTACAAATGTGAATCGAAGGTAAAACACTTAGAAAACAGTTTAACTATCCAGACGACACAATTTAAAACGATTTATTTTTTTATGGACTAAGACTAAAAAAGTGAAATAGCAAGGACGAGAAAGAAAGCAAGCTTCATTTCATGTAAAATACTAAGCTCTTAATGTCTGAGAGCGAGGTTTTTACTGAAAAATAACGGACCGAGGTACTTTTGTACAGACCGAGCCCGTAGGGCGAGATTTGTACAAAAAGACCTCGGTCTTCCAAAATAATCGTTTTAAATTGTATCGTCTGTATAGTTTCACTGTTTTCCAAGTGTTTTACCATCGAATCACATTCGTAAATGGCTTTTGTTTCGTTTATTTTGCGTTTTGCTGTTTGCTTTACGAAGTTTGTTTACATTTGACAGTATAATTATGCGTTTTGGACGGTGGTCGATTACGGGAAAATAATGGGCTGGCAAAAATGTTTCTGAGCCAATCAAAGTGCGCCATTTAACCGGAAGTGACGCTTGCCATATAATAAACCATTTTTAACTTTTCATATTGTAAGATAGTTGTTCATATAATGATCTGCAATTGTTCCTCTAAAATGTGTTACATCTTCGTTTACAGGATATTCGTGGCATCTGTCTGTACCAACGCAATTAATTTCTTGGCCAATATGTACAAACCTCATAAGAGGAGGAATGACTGTAACAAGGTCATTCTTATACGTCATTCTAAGATTCAATCCGCTCAAAGCTCGGTTGACATGTTCTGCAAATTCATGGTTACCAACCCTAGGCGAGCCAAAGGTTATCAAATCGACACGATGTCCAGCATTTACTAAATCAACTGTTGCTAAAGTTGCCATTGCCCCACCAAGTGAATGACCTGTCACTAAAACTCTAGCGTCGGAATGTTCGTCAGATAAAGCGCTTACTTTCTCAAGCATTTGGTCTTTCAGTGCATTATAAGACTGAAAAAATCCAATGTGTACTTCGCAATCTTCGCAACCCGAATATCTTTGTTTGAAGAACTTGAGATTTCTATACCAGTCAGTAAGGTCTTTAGAACCTTGAAAAGACACAACGATTCTATTTCCTTCGTACTTGACAAAGCCTTTCACCCTCTCGCCGTCTTTCAACCTTGTTTCAGTTGGATTTACTTCTTGGTAGGCCTCTTCTGCATATATTGCAGCATTTCGAATCGCCGCCAATTTCTCGGGTGGTAAAGAACGAGTGTTCTTCTTGTCTATGACAGGTCCATTTGTGGAACAAAATTTGCCAGTTGGGCACGTTCGACAAAATATTTTTCCTCTTTTGTCTTGATACGATCCGTTACGACACTTTACGGGAGATTTATTCTTCCAAAGACAAGAATGACCAACTGGACAAACTTTGCATTTTGATTGTCCAGTTTGAAGATTGTATTCTCCAAACTTACACGATTTGCAAGATGTTTGACCTGTTAGGTCTTGATATTTTCCTTTGCCACATTTTGCAAAATGTGATGGATTATTTATCAAAGGACAGTAATGACCAACTGGTGCATCACAACCTGAAGACTGATAAGCTTGCACAAAAGAAGTTATACTTAGAAAAATTATGAAAATCGTCATCTTTTTATTTTTGAATCAAATCAGAGACGCATGCATATCAATTGACATTTATATACTCAGCATAAAGCGAGAGTAATTGCTCTATTGACTGGAACGGAGTCAAACAGGTACCAGTTCGTTCCGGTCACGGTCAGTAGTATCTAGGAAAAAGTTTTAGTCACGCTGTTTGTTTGATTGAGAGCCGTAGCAAATTTTTCCTGTACCTTTAATGTCATGATTTTAGATAAGTACATTCATAGTAGAGTAAGAATGTTAAATAAGGAACATTGTTTATTAAAAATAAAAATAAAGATAAAATGATAAACTTATTAAGTTCATCAACTTAGTCAAGTTCATAAAATAAGTTTTATTTTTTCAAGCACAATGAAGATTGTAAATATCATTCTATGAAAATAGAAAATGGCTGCATTAATGCAATTAAGTGCTTTGAAAATCTCAGAAACCAACAACTGTACTTTGTTAACGACAAAACAATCAAAAACATCTTGAATACGTATATTTTATTTCTAAAAATTACAAAAGATTTCATTTTCATACAGATTTCATGTTCATTATCCCATTCTAGTAAATCTTAAGTCAATATCTTAAGATATTTTATTAATCATGAAACAAAGACAGTTTAATTATAAAAATCGACCTGTGACCAAAGCAATGTACAAGAAAGCGAAATTATATTACTCTGGTAATTAAACTCGACTCAAAATTTTGTCTTATAAGTTTCTATATATAATTGTCTCGCTGAGCATAGCCGTATCAAAAAAATTGGAAAATTTAAAGATGTCCAGAAAACTAACGTTTTATCATAACTTCTCAAAAATGGGCTTACGTCTAAGTATTTTTGCATCGTTTGGCTTATCTAAAATTAAAATTACTCTTGAGTAGCTGAAAAGCGTATTGTTTAAGTCTAAATTTTTATCTGTGTTATGCACTGTACAAAATTTTAAAAGTTTTGACTTAAAGTTCACCCAGCAAAGTGTCTAAATTGATGTTTTTTACAGTTTGTTCATTGTCGCAAATTTTTACTTAGAAGCACTGATTACGTACTTTAGTTATAATTTTTATTATGTAAAACGTATTTTATTATGATCATTATATATTACAAATATAAATGTTAAAAAACTAAATCAAATATGACTAGAATCAGTGTTTAAAAATATCCATGATAAAAGGGACAGTCAAGTGTAAAGACAACTTTCCCAATAACCTAGGTCAATATTTAAAGTATGTTCGCGAGTTGAGGCAGATCGACTTCCTCGTATTGCAGTAATTGCTGACCTAATCAGTGCGAAAGATAGTTTACAACGCATCCACGCTAGCGTGATGCCATATTGCAGCTTTCTCTTTTGTGCCAGCAGATCAGCTAGCCGTTTATAAGCAATTGCCGTCTCTTTCCCCATACCACCTGATGTTGAAAAGACCAGTGGTGTAAAAGCAGCATATTCAATCTCTCTTACTCGATCACCATATTCCCTTTCTTAGCCATCTCATGCTGACGATAGAGTGCAGGTAGATTGGTGTTTTGGTAGCTCGACGCGTTTGGGTGAAATACCCTTACATCAAAAAATGCATCTTGCTGTCTAGACCAAAAACCTTTAGCACGAATATCTAGTCTCGCTTCTTCTTGTCTATTGGCTGTACGAGGTAATATCACTTCCCCAGAAAGAGGTTGTAATTGTGGCTCTTTCACAACTGTCGAGAAAACTTCAGCCATCCACTGTGCTGTTATATCTCGAACTTCATTATGTCTCACTATTGGTAAACCACCATGAGTACATATCATCGCGTGATCGGTTGCAAAAGCCTTTCCACAAATGCAGTGCAGAGGGACATTTTTCAATTGCCATCCATAACGTAAACTTAATGCATCTCGAAATTCCCCTTTGTTCAAATTAAAGCCTTGATCTTGTAATGGAAGTACACTTAACCATGATGACGATCCTTTTTCGCTCAGTATATCTAGCTTCCTTTGCATTGTTGGCGTAGAACTATCTCTTATATCCTGGATCAAATCATCCACTTTCTTCTTCTTTTGCTCTCGTAAAGTCATTTTGATTGACTGTAACTGAGGTTTATGAAGTATCTCTTTCTGTTGAACAATCATCTCTTTTAGGCATTGGCTGATCTTTTTGGAGGCAAGATATTCTTCATTTGCACTTTTAACTGGGTTGATAATATTTAGACCACCAAATCGTATAGGAAGAGAAAGGAGTGTTCGCTCATCTGGATTACATTGGTTTCTTCCAGTGAGTGATGGTATAAATGTCTGCGAAATTGCATCTTCCAGAGGTTGAAATAACTCACTGATGTTCTCAACTGTTCGCATTATATAGCGCCACTTTCCCATTATACAATGAGAAAATGCCACAAACGCTGATTGGGGATAACGTTCTGCAATCTTTGAAAGACTTTCAATTTCTTCCACAAATACCCTAATCTTTCTTGCCATATACTCATGGACGAACAAATTGGAGCCAATTGCTGATCCCAACATTCCATGGCCTTCAGTTGTTATATTAATATCTGTTCCTCCAAAATGGTTTATCGCTTCTTTCAAGTGCTGTGACTTAACAACAAGATACGTTTTACTTCCCTTTGGAAAGTAACCCATCATTGGCCCAATGTCAGATATGTTTTGCCACCATCTTCTTAAAGATTTTATTTTCCCACCACATGTAGCATCATCAGCAAACCACACTTGCTTGACTGTTGGTTCTTCTGATCTAAGCCTACGAATCAAAGGTGTAACTGCAAGTGCATACATTGCCTTTGCGAGCGGGTCCCCTTGCGTAATCCCTTCTGCGGACTGAATTTCTCCTCCTCCAGTAACAAACAGCCTAACTGGCACTTGATAGGTATTATTTAGTACAGTTGATATTGAGGGACAAATTATTGCAATGTTATGTAGTGCTGCTTGCCGATTGATAGTGTTAAAAGCATTGGTAGCATCTACTAGTAATACAGCTTGTGTTTCATCTGATGACATGATCTCATTCATTGCATGGATTGCCGCTTCACAACCTGCTTCATGACCTGCACATGCTTGTAAAGGTCCTGCTGCTTCCTGGACATCTTTCCCAACCACTTACGTACTTTAGTGATTGTTTTAATGACGTAACCTACAAAAACCTAAGTTTGAATGTAATCAGTCATGCATGTAATCCGTCATGTTTTAATGACGTAACCTACATAAACCTAAGTTTGAATGTAATCAGTCATGCATGTAATCAGAAACATGAGAGAATCTCGAAACACTTCACACTTCACACGCGTTGTCTGGTATCAAATTTGCGTGTCTGGAATAAAATCTTGTCTTCTAAAAATTGTTAGATTTTTCTGTTAGAGGTAGCGTACTATTATACATGGTAGCGTCTCTTGCTATGATCAATAAGGCCTGTTTCAAACGTCGCATTTTAGATGAGCCGAATGCATTTAAGACAAAAGATAATAAGGAATTTTATCTCATTATCTTTTATTTTAAATGAATTCGGCGTACGTAAAATGCGACGTTTGAATTGGGCCTAAGAGGATAGGCCCACGAAATTGATGGTAATGAAAATTTCTTGTTTTTTTATTACAAAATTTTTAGCTCGGCCAGCCTGAAAATTTGTTCCCGCTATGTAAATTTTTATCATCAACATTATTGATTTCTATAAAAATCTATTGTTTTTACAGTATAACTAAACATTAAAGAATTTACATAAGACACGACCAAACCTGCGGGCTGGCTACGCAACAGGCAAAAATAGTTAAATATTTTCTTGATCTGCCAACTCCTACATGGTTTTGCTTTCCATATAGTTTACCTGACATTTGATGACCTTTCTACCCCCTTGATGCAGGTCCCAAAACCCCTGTAATGCTAAAGGATCTTCTGTAAAACTGAGTTAAGTATGATTGGGATTCGTACTGCTTAATAAATGCAAATGTTTATGATTTTTTTTAAAAACAATTATCCTGTTTCTAAGTCACATGTACAAGCATTTGATGCGTAACTGACTAAGCATATGATCGATAAGTTTCCCATCGATCTCAGCCGGATTAATTATAGGGATAGTATTTCTTCATGTTTTACAGCGTCAAGATGTTGAAGACTTTTCAGGTATTCTTTAACCTCATAAGTTTTGATTTCTTGCGATAGGCTTAACATACTCATTTGAACATTTTCAAATAGGTTTGACGACCAATTAGATTCCGTTTTGCTATAGCTGGGTTTTCATGCTATACATGCACGTGTCTACAAGATCTTAGATATTGAAACTAGTCCTGAACTAAAAGTCTCACAACAAATTTAAATATTAAAATATAAGATGGCCGACAAGCAACTGCAAGAGCGTTAAAATATAACTAAAAATATACGTAGATTATGCCTCTTACCGAATGAAATGCCACAACGTGGTTCACCAACACATTCTGAAGATACTCCGAAAACACTTCAACTATCTTTTTTTGTGTTCACCATACACAATTACGACTCACTGTCAACGACCAATATTTTTCAGCTCCTTCTAAAACAATTTCCAACAGGCTTCATTTAAAAAGCGTGACTGCATTGCGTTTTATACATTTATTTATTAGCTAATAACATGATAACATGTTACTAGTTCAACCTAATCACACTATCACAAACCCTTTGTCCGATGCCTTGTTTAAACTATATCATGTGCATATTACGTCACATAGCTAACCCTTATGACGCAATTAAAATGTATCATAACACAATTCTCATACATCTACTACATTAATCTATTCTTCATTTTCTTCTATTGTAAGATACTTTTCCATAAAATGGTCGACAATATTTTGTCTGACATGTGTTACATCTTGGTTTGCGGGATATTCGTGGCATTTGTCTTTACCAACACAATGAATTTCTTGACCGACATGTAGATATTCCATATTAGGCAGAATGACTGTAAGAATGTCTTTCTTATATGTCATTGTGAGATTGCATCCCTCGAAAAGATCGTTGAGGTGTTTTTTAAATTCTTTGTTATCAACACTGGGTTATTAAGGATGGATATCCTGCCGATTTAATAACTGGCCAAAGCTTATCAAATCGACAGAATATCCTGCATTTCTCAATTCGAATGCTATCAAATTTGCAATTCTTCCACCAAGTGAATAAATTGCCACCAAACTTTAGAAGGGGTATGTTCGTCAGATAAAACGCTTACTTTTTAAAGCGTTGCCCCTCTCCGTGCACTATAAGACTGAAAGAATCCAATGAGTACTTGGCAATTTTGACAACCAGAATAGCTTTGTTTCAATAGCCTGCACAAAAAAGTTATGTCTGACAGAAATATCAAAACTGTCATCCATTTGCTTTCAATTCAAGTCAGACAGGTATATATAGCAATTATAGCATTTATTTGCTCTGCAAAGTAAGAGTAAATGCTCAATTGACTCAAATCGGTACCAGTTCGTTCCGGTCATAATCAACAGCATCAACGAAAATATTTGGTAACGCTGTAATTTTTCGAGCACAAGATTGTAAATGTCATTTTATGGAAGTAAGAATTACTGTCTGAATTGATGCAACTGATTGCTCTGAAACTCTCAGAGATTAACAATTATCGAAAAATAAGTAATATAGGGTTTTTAAAACCTTTCAGTTAATGGGAAGTAGATTTTGATTAACTTGCTGATGCACATTTACATATAATGTGAAACAAAGTAAGGCTGCTTCCAGTTTTCTTTTAGCGCATAATGTTTAACATTGAAAGTAAACGTTGTCATAAGGACAATACGATTATTTTTGTGACCTAAATATGGTTAAAATGAATTCTTAATACATGATTAGCGTTAGCTAGTTAAGTGTTCTTTTTTGTCCTGTGTGGTTGTTCTTTGAACTATGAAAATTTGATCTCTGCCAAGATTATTTTTTAATTTATGCAAAATCAACCTTTGACCAGATATAGTGCATGGTAATTTTTAAGAATAATAAAATATATTTACTTGTTTCTATTGAGTTATTTAGCTTAACACTTGTGAAAGTTTGGCATAAACAAGAAATTGCGTGCAAGCACAAACACGACGCAAATGTGTTTTCGAGCAATTTCAGGTTTCTCCGATGCTTTTAAAAGTGTTTATAAGACAAGTAAATATATAATCTATTTTGCGTATAAAATAACCATTTAAAAAAAAATATAAAACATAAATTTACGGTTTTAGTCTACATGTTGATTATATTCTGGCCATTAAAATATCCCGGGCAAACCATGTTAAAACATTATTTTAATGTCACTGTAGGCATTAGGACAAGAAATACTTTTACGTTTTCCATTATTACTTTTATATTTTTATGTATCAAACGTTAGTTTTAACTACAGACGTTTTAATGTAGATATTTTTTTGTCGTATTCTTGCTCAAATTCATAGTCGATGTCTTTTCATCATCGTATTTCATCAAATTAAAATATTTTATATTCTCTTCAATCTTTCGGAATCCTGTCATCACCATCATCATCTGCCTAAATGTCCTTCATTTTATTATTTGTCTCATTAGCTACCTATTTGTAGATGTGGATCGTCCAGGTTAGTGAAGTCATATCAAAATATTGTAATGGAAAGTTGGATATTCCCTCTAACTTGGAGCTAATCTCTTTTTGACTTTACAGACTTTTGTCCAAAATAACAGAGATAACAAAAACAACAAAACTAAAAAGCAGTTGGAACGCATAGGGTTAAATTATGGCACATGATGTTCAATCTTACAAAGCTTGGGGCGACTCAGCAAGACCGTACAAGAACGCTAGGCATCCAAATCGCAGGTTATTTTGGTTTTTTTTTCGTTTTTAAACGCCATTCTGTTACAATCCTCATCAATTGTGCGTAATTGCGAGCTTATAAATAAGAATAATTGATGAAGGTTTTAAGAAAGCACAAGATCCGAAAAACTACTAATTTCTTGTGAAATACTACACCCGAACAGCTTGAGACCCATTTAGAGCGACATATCTTTTGTCAACACAGAGTTTATCAGTTTGATATGTTTTTAATTGAATGAAAAATGATGGCATATTGTAAAGAGATCATTTCATTTCTTCTTCTCCAGTCCTTACTTATTAATTTCTCCTTGTGCTACATCGTGAAACGAAAAGCACCAGAAGGAAAACTTTACGTATTTTTAAAAAGAGAAGGATGTGTATCAGTACAAAGTGGAAGTCCTTGTACATTAAACTGGAAATTGAATCCATACATCGCCAAAGTTTACACACAGAAGAACAAGGTCGTTTCACATGCACTCAATCTCTATACTCAACTTGGCGTTTCATCTTTGTGCAGAGATGCTGTTAAAGAAGCGTTATGTTCACAAGTGACCCCAAGATGTTCAGAAAGCGATTACAGTCGAGATTATGGTGATGTTACAAGGCTGTGTAACAACGTTTACTCTCGTTGTCCTTCAGATCTCGTAAATGATTTAAAGAACCAAAAATTCTGCAAGAATTTTAAAAAGGGCAGACATTCAAACGGTCAGTGTGTTGCGAATACTGCACCCATCAGTGGTGCTTGTCCGCAGCCAAAGTATAAGGTACGTTAACTTAAATATATATTAAAAATAAACGATTTGCGATCAACCCTTAAATTTTTGATAGGATATTTCGATATAATAAAAAGTATTCTTATGAGTTATTTATATTAGAAGTCCCATACATGAAGTCTCATGTTGATAATTAAAGGCTCTGAAATATATTTGGTTTAAAACAGGAAAATCATCGATCATCTCAAATGTTGAATTAATCTTGTGCTCTTCTAATCGAATCGTAATTTTTGACTGTAAGTAAAGTATCTGGACGCGCGCTCAATTAGGTTGATGGAAACCGTATGTTCAGTGAATTATTATGATTTCTATTATGTTAACCTTTTTTTACTTCATATCGTATACTATTATATGCAGTAAGGCAGTAACACATCATCAACGCCAACTCCCTTTGTTCATGGTTTGTACGAAATATACAGCGCGCCGGAACGGTTTTAAAAGTTCACAGGGGGTGCGTAAAAGGACAGTCAAAATTCTAGAAAAAGAGCATTGAAATTTGTCTGGACAATAATTTTGTATTATATAATTGTTTCCTCCAAACAAACTTATATTACAATTTATTACGAAGCAGGTAACTGAAGGTCTGCCGGGTTTTTTTTTCGCTCTAGTCATTATATCCCACGCAGCCACTTTCAATTTATTGCCAGTCTGTGTTCACATCACTCGCATGTGATACTTTTTAGATCATCATATTGGCGCTAAGTAGCTCATTCAATTTCCAGCTTTTTTGTACTAACGGCTCAGTAATTTATTGTACGTACTTTATCTCACATTGTGAATGTACGCTTTGTGAACGTACTCGGCCAGAACTAAACGATCGTGTACATTTTCTGTGAACTCGATTAAAACGAAACCTCTGTACAGTGGCGGATCCAAGGTATCTCAAAATAAATCGTATCTCCTCAATTTTAAATCTAAATCATATTCAGAAAAAAACTGTTGGTTTTTAATTTCTAAAGAATATATTTTTGGCAATGAATTTACTTCTAAGGTGTTTAGAAATGTAAATATACGCCAAAATATGCCGCAGTAATTTATTTTGAGGTACTCTAAATCCCAGTCACTGCCTCTGTACTCATAGTTTTTGTACTTGATCTAGCTCATGAATTTCAAAATATTAACCACGTGCATGTATAAAACTATCAAAGGTAATACTATCAGAATTGAGCAATTCGTGATGCACTACGGAAGATGAAGTGAATCATGCAAATACGCTAAATATGCATGACATTTTCTAATAAGGAAAGAAACAGATGTTTTGTTTATATGTATCGAAAATGCAAGGAGAACCAAGTCTAAGTCTAGTTAAACAAATTTAATGTCTTCTCAGAAAAAGAAATTTGGAAATTGGCTCGTAATTCATATGAAAAAAACCGATATAAAAGTAGAACAACTTAACCAACCATTGGCGTCAATCCTGTATTAATTTGGGGGCATATTCATACATTCTGCTATCCCTGGCTAATTTCTTTTCAAAACAATCTCACTTAAAAAAAAAAATTGCCAGGCATAACAGAATATATGAATATGGTCCCCCATCCATTTATTGCAGGATTGACGCCAATGAAACCAACAGTAGTTCATGCACTTTAAATTTTCTAAATGATAATTAAATCATGTAGTAAATTGATGCAAGACTCAGCTCTTTAGTCAGTTTAATGGTATTGAAAAGAATCCCGTGTCCATCTGATGCAGTGTGGCTGTGTATATAAATCCAATTGGATTTTAAAGGTGTTTGGTTTTCTTTCAAGAGATCCATTTGCCCTTTGGCATGGCCAATTATGGTGGAAGTAGCTCATTTTTAGAAATAAGTTTAGTTGTAAGCCTTAATTGTAAAATATTTAGAAAATTAACACAATTCTGCTGTTTCATTTGACCTAAGGGGCATTAAAATTTAGTGTGACATGTGTTCTGAAATGCACGCATTAAATTTAAGTTCAAATTTTCAAATTGATGACAAAATTCTGACAGCCAAAATGTAAAATTAGATATCAAATAACAAAATAGATCTTGCACAGCTTTCTCCAGTCTTGTGTTTTTACTCTGTATGGTTTTCTACTGTTGAAAAAACGTAGATACTGGAAAAGTCACACACTAAGTGCTTTTGCCGAAAATGCAACAGATATTTATGAGAAAGGTTAAAATGAAAGAAAAATATTTACATGTTATTGTTACAAAAATTATGAGAATATCTGCAGTAAAGGTCAATGGGGTATTTGATTTTCCGTACAATATATTACTAAATAACAATTCACATTCTTCAAAACGGATAAACTGTTTCAGGCAGTATTTCGATCCCACGAGTAACCTAGTGCATTTAGTTAGTTCGTAATGTTTTGTTACACGCTTGACTAGCGGAACCCCATTCCCATTTGTATAATCTTCTACCCACTGAAAGCATTCGCAATAACACTTTTTATGCTAGAGTAAACGCTTGCCAATGGTCTTGTTTCATTTCCAATTTCCGTCAATTTACTTAGAAATCGCGGATAGCACCTACAATCAGGGGCGGATCTAGAGTATGTCAAATCCGTCGCGCGACTGATGTTTGAAATTCAAAAATTACCTATTCATATTAATTAAAAATTCATTGATTATTCTTACTTTATTATCGCATTTACTTCGTGATAAAAATAAAGCTTTATTTATTATTGAAAACTAATGACTAATGCAACGAATATCTCCTTGGTAACCAGATCAGTTGAATTTTAATTGACCTGGAATAACCGACTGATAAGCGGGGTGGCTTGACTGGTTCGACTTATAAAGGAGTCTATGAACGCCAGAAACGCTATTTTATTGGTCAATGGCCAGATCAGTGGACAGTCTGGAATAATCTCGACCGATAATAGGGTGGCCGGACCTATAAGGGAGTCCAATTGCTATCTTACAATTGGTTCATTTGAATTTTGTCTTACTGTGATTGGTTTGACCGATTTCGACTGATAGCCAACTGAACTAACATAGTCAAGCTCACTGTCTGAATTGAATGTTTGATCGTTCATAGTAATTTTCGAAGCATGATAGAAACTAAACTACAATCAGATGGAATTTATGGAAATCTTTACAAATTCATATGTTGACATGAATGCTGCTTTCCAAACTGGGAATTTTTCAAGAGGGTGAAAAATTTATGGATGAATTGTAAATGCTTGGCAAAGACGATCTCGCGAGCGACATTTCAGTCATTGATGTTCAAAAGCAAGCCAACATTGTTTTGAGTTTTATCAGCAGAAATTTACATCGAAAATCGTAAGTAAAGGACAAGTGAAGTGTATGCATGAATGCAATATATCAAAGTCAATTTATGCGAGTGTGTGATGCGATTTATGTTAATATGGCGTATGGTAAGCAGATTGATGCTTCTAAAATTGTTGTTGCCGAAGGACTTTTAGCTATGATTTCTTTAATGCTTGGGGAATCGTGGCCGTTATATGGCAGCGAAATCCTACATTTCTGCAAATATATTTCAATGGACAAAAAATCTGTAGCCATAAGGTGCCATACTATTATTTACTTTATAAACAAATGTTTGGGGCTTTTCAGTTTATGATCATTGATCATTCAATCATTGGACAGTTATACTACATATTGTTTAAGATTTGAGAAAACTAACATTGATTACATGAGAAGCTGTTTACTATAACCTGTGATTTTGAGTCTTATGATCCATGAAGCTTTTTATTTTGACAATTTGACTGGAATGGTATTAAATCTGAGTATTTCACATACATGAAATCTTGTCCCATGTCACATATTGTCCCCTTTTCTAACTGAACACCTCATGTAGAGATGTAAAGGTGTGTTAATCTACGGCTCATACCAGATTGTTTGCCATAAATTCCAAAGGGCTATTGATGTATGAATAGCATTTTCTATCAAGTAAAAATGTCTTCCAATGTATGCAGATAAACCTTGAAATTTGGCAAAACAGCAAAGTATTTTTCATGATCACTAGGTAATTTTTCTGATGATCAGTATAATTTCTAAACTAAATTATTTCAGATTTACATTTAAACGAGCTTTGATCATATGAAAAGATATTTATCATAACCAGTAAGCATGACACATGAACCAATTTTAACATTCATGTAATTATATAATTAAAGACATGTTGGTTACATTCTGTTTGTATTTGCAAATACAATGCTACTAGTGATTGCTATATAGCACACCTTGCATATACTTACAGAAGATAATAGTCTAGTGAAATGCCTAAGAAACATTCATGGCATTAAGCTGTCCTTAACTGCAATTTTCACTTTGATAATTTTCTTAATCTTTGACAGAAAAAATTTTGAGTTTTTCTCAAAAGTGAATTTGCTAGCTCTGATGTGGAGATGGGTAAAGGGTTACAATAAACTTGCATGGTTTGAAGTCTGAGCTTTTCTATATTTATGAACTGTCACTTGTAGTACCAAATTTCTAACTTAACTTATTACATAGAGGTTTGAATGGGGGTCTCTAGGGGTCTATGCCTGACAACTTGGTAGAAATTTTAAAGACTATATCTGTTTTGAATAGCATTATTGTAAAATAAATTTTACGTTCCTAGACATGCTAATGAGCCATATATTTGGCATGATAATGAGCCTAAATATTTGGCAAAACATTCAAGTATTGTTCACTTCATTTTTTTGAAAAAACGTAAGCAAAATGTGTTGTTTTACCGAAAAACGATGCCCACAAAATACATCTTGTATTGCTCTAAAACGCTGAAAATGGCATTTTTGAGGTTCTGAAATTCAAAATTTCTCAGGGGAGAATGCCTCAGACCCCCCCCGGCGCGGAGTGCCTCCGACGTTTTTTGACTGATGTTTGAAAAATCCTAGATCCGCCCCTGCCTACAATGGTTAGTGAACAAAAAAAGAGTAAAAAATTGATAATTTTTTAACGAAAAATGATTATGTCTGTAGATAAAATTGGACGGTAGGTGGAGCAGCCATAGCTAACCAGTCCCCCTATTTAGGCAGTTATGATACATCGTCCACGATCCCATCTCGCAAATAGATCAGTTGATGATAAAGACTTAGATGATATCCAAACTCGAAATTTAAAAATTTGTCTACATAATTTACGAAGAGTATCCATAATCGTATTTTAAATTTACTTTCAGATGACATCGTGGTTCCTTGAAGAATATCGAAAAACTTCTGTAAGAATCCAGCCAGCTTTGAGACGTATTCGTAGTCTACAATACGGTGATGGTAGAAGGATTTTTTCACATTTATGTGTTTCACGAATAACTGAAATTAAATGTGCAGCAATTTATTGCTCAGCAACTGAAGCTGAGCTCTTGGTAAAAATGAATAGAAATGATTGCCATCAGGTCGTCAGTGACTGGTAAGTTATGACGATCTTTTTTTTACACGTTTGTCATGCATGAACCAAATTTTCCATCCATTATCATTCGAAGTTCGATCTACTCAGTATACATATCATATAGCATTAATTTTTTCACAAAATCTGGGACTTGCTGACTGGGAAACGTTACAAGATGTTAAATAAATTTTTATGCTGCTTACAACAATAATTTTTGATTATGATTAACGTAATTAGGTTGTGCATAAAAAACTGTATTGCATTATTCACGGCTCGTTATACATGCATTGTGCCATATAGTACTGCGCACTTTATTTAAATGTTATCTTTTGCAGTGTCGACGAACCATTTATAAGATTGTCAAATTCGACTAGTGATTGGAATGCTTTGAATACTTTGAGAAATCAACTTAGAACGAATTGCAACTTCTATGCTGCGTCTTCGCCAGACTTGCGATCTGAGCCTGCACGCATTAATAGTGGAAACAGACAACACGGAGCCAATGGAATGCTGCCCATTGCCTTTTTTGCACTTGTAAATGTGATTTTAATTTCATAAGATTCAGTTAAATTAAAGATATTATTATATTCATTTGTATTCAGAAAAACTTCACACAAAGTTTGACTCAATATAGTAACACTTAGTGTCAGTCTCAATACTACTTGCATGATATTTTTTAATTTTATAGTTGGTGGATACTTTGTATGATTCTTTCTGATTAGTCGTTTTCACGTATTATGCATTGGAATGCATTGATAATAATATAAATACTAGTAAGAATATTGATGTTAAATTGTTAAATTGTTAAACTAAAAGGGAAACTTTACGTATTTTCAACGAGTGAGAATAATGCTTTTCAGTAAGAAGTGCAAATCTTTGTACATTGGGCTTGAAATCGTATGTATACATTGCCAAAGTTTCACAAACAACAATATTTGATTCACATGCGATCAATCTTTATGCCTAAATATAAGCATTATTTCAAGTAGTTCAACAGGTTTAACAATTCAGTATTTATAGGAACTAATATAAAACTGCTATCAATGTGAGACCTGCTCATTCAAGAGTAAAAGTCAAGCATAAATTCAAAACTATTAAATTCAAGCAAATGATAAAAAAAATAAGATGAAAGGTATCAAAACGAGTTAGTTTACACTTACATTAAGACCCTCCTTAAATATCAAGAAAAAATTTTTTCGTACATTTATGGGCAAGACACAATTTTGTGACAATTGCGTAGCAACTGCACAATTGGAAATGACCATGTTTCCATGAAAAGCACGGGCAATTCAGTCCTCCAAATAAGGCTCAATAACGTGTAGATCACTCATTTCTTTCGACTTCGTTACAACACATCTTTTTTGTACTTGTTTCACTTTGATTTTTATATACATTTGAAAATTTTCAAGTACTTCACAAATGTTAATTAAAATAACTTTAACCTAAAAGGTATTTCCTAGAAGCTAAATTCTGTGTTTTGCTAAATTCCAAAACAGGCGATGTCTTTTCCCTTGCTATTAAGGAAATTGAACTATTTGAAGAAATTTTAGGAAATTTGCCTCCTAGGTCGTCTTGAAAACTTTGAAACTGCCCGATATCTTTTATCTCATCTGCAAGTCGGCCTTATTGTCCTTTGATTTTCAAGTACTTTCGGAAACCTTTAGCAAATCATAATAAGGGTTTCATTTAAAGAGTTTCATGTCTTTCATTTGCAAAAAGGTCAGTGTTTAAAGTTAACAGTTGCATCTATCTCATTTTTTTTTGCCTTTAATGCATTGGATACATATTTATTTTGAACACATACGTTTATTTTATCTTCTCTGCTCACTCTTCTTTCAGATGAAAAAAAAATTTATGAAGAAAAATTTTATTTCATCAAAATTTAACTGTCTCAAATTCGGTAAAAAATGCACATTCATACTCTGTAATAGGTCATCGGGGCTATTTTATTTCAAAACAAAAGACATCAACAAATTGCAACGTTAGAGTAGTTCAGTTTCGTGTCAGCACCTTTCGAAACAAGACCTGAGCGCAGCTCCAAAATATGGAACATTTCATTAACGCGATCCATTTCTCCCTTCTTCTACAGACGTTTTTCATCGATGTCTACTTGTGCAACATCGTGAAACGAAAATTGCCCGAAGGAAAACTTTACGAATTTTCAAAAAGAGAAGGATGTGTGTCCTTACAAAGTTGTACATTGAACTGGAAGTTGAATCCATATATCGCTAAAATTTACATACACACAGTAGAACAAGATCATTTCAAGTGATCTCAAACTTTATGCTCAACTTAGCATTTCATCTACATGCTAACATGCTGTTAAAGAAGCTTTATGTTCCCAAGTGACAACATGATCCGAAAGAGATTACAGTCGAAATTATGGCGATTCCACAAAGCTGTGTAACAACGTTTGCTCTCGTTGTCCTTCAAATTTTGTTAGTAGTTTGAAAACAAACAACCTCTTCACGAATAATAAAAAAGACAGACATTCATACTGTCAATGTAATGCAAATACTGAAAATTTTTGTGGTTCTTGTTTACAGCCAATGTTCAAGGTACACATGCGTGCAACAAGATGTGTTATGCTCATAAGATAATTTATGTCAAGATCCGGTAAATGTATGATATGCTTATATAGTTTAAAAATAAGTACGAAGAGCGTAAACGTGGGTATAGTCTGAATTGACAATAAAAAAAACTGACGTTTCCAATCGCTTGCAAAGCTTGCATTTTTATGATATCCTAACTTGCTTAGTCTTAAATACTGTCATTGAAGACTACTACAAATGTAGGTTATGGCATTCCTTTAGTCACAATATTAGAATATTGTTGCTAAAGAATGATTTTCATCAATATGTCTTTGTAAAAAGTTGTCAAAAGTAGATTATGTAAGTTCTTTGTTCATATGTGTATCCAGTCCGAACATAGAGATCAATAATAACGATGTAAGCAATAGTAAAAAAGGTATGAATAAATTGTTACAACCAAGCAAAGGGATTAACTGGCAGTGACTCACCGTGTTGTAAGTTGTCTCATTGAGATCTTTGATTATTTTTTTCTGTGGCTGCTTTTTTTGTCGTATACGCTTTACGACACGTGGGTTAGTGACCAAGAGCAGCTCAAATCTGTTTTGAAACGAAGAGGAGGGGTAACTCGGAGAGATCTGGCAATTGTCAGATAATTCATTAGGCATATACTTCGTCATTCAAATAAATATCACGTTATTCATCCGTGGTATAAACTATAAAATGTTTGTTTAAAGTGCATATAAACCTTACACTATCCGATAAACGTGGTGTCAAAGGCCATATTCCAAAAATTTTGCTGTAGTCGGACAAATAGTTTGCGCTGTAAACTACGTCAAAGTTGCAAAAATATACATTTTAAGCGTTCGGCTTTACCGCTATGGGACTGGGCCTGCGCGTCCAGCTGACGTCATGTAAGTAACAGGTCTGAACTGTCGTAAAGATATATGAAAAGTAAAGCAAGGTGTTGTCACATTAGGCCAACTCAGTCGACTATAACGGACAGTTCTAACGTTGCTTGCCATAAGGCAAAGGCCTTCACTCATTCATTTTAATGGGTCCGCCAATCCTGTTGAAATAAGTGGCTGGACTTTGTTGCATTAAAGCGAGTAAAATGCCAATATCAGTTATGTGTAGTATTTGCACTTTACAATTAAACCCAAGAACGTGACAAGGCGGTATATTTAATTTGCAAGAGAAGCAAGCTTGTGTATAATCTTTGGTCCCAGTCATTGCTGGCCGAAACTTCTCCTACATATATGGGGCACAAAAAGCGCATGCTTATATGAGAGCCGGGATGGATTGACGCCCGAAACGGGAGATGAATGAGACCTCGGATTTTATACATTTCCTATAGGCAATTTTCATTTGTTTGTATGGAACCGCGGCACATTTTTTTGTCTTACCCGCTTAGTTGAGATCGATTTTTTTAACCGTGATCTTTATCAACACGGGACATTTTTTTGGTCATATTTTTCAATATCCAGATACAAAACCTGTCAAAATCAACTGGATATAAATAATTGTAGCAACGTTTTATCAAAATCACAACAGCATTGCGAACAAAACGATAGATGACAGTTAAACCACCTGTAATGTCTTGTTCAAGTAAAATACAAAGCAACAAATACGCCATTCTGAAAGCGAGATTTGTATGGTCGGAATTTCTTACAAAGCTCACACGATAAAGTACGGATGCCGGCTAACGACAAAGGCTGTGGCAAATCAAGGCTCAGGGGAAGTGAAATAATAGTTTCTTATCCTCAGTTATTTTTTTCTCGGTGTAAAAACTCATATAAACGAGTGATGTATGCAACCCGTCGTGGAAACATCCCGTCCTACCTTCCGATACAAATAGTAAATGTTATGCCGCGTGTGTCTTTTGCATTCGAGCCTATTGTTGCTGCTGAACACTACTGTCGAAGTCGAAGTCAAAAATTTCATCTTCTGTTGAATCCAACGATGAAGAAAGGACGTTATGGATAATTTACAGCAAACAGTTAGTCTTGAATTAAATAGAGCCGTGCGAACTGTGTTCCTTACATGACGTCACGACATGAACTTGATACCAGTTCCCTTAGTGAAAAATATATATGGTAAATTTGGGTTTTTAACAGCAATTTGCCAGATAGATTTAATGTAAATCAATTTATTTTTTGAATTTGTTAATTTCATGAGTTGTCCTTTCAAACAATACTAAAATCCTGTAAGGTTTATTATATGCAGTTTAAATAAGAGGAAGAAGTGTTCAAGCTACCAATTGGCATGAAAAATTTTACACGTTTTTTGGAGGTGATATTTAAGCCTCACCCCGTGATTGGGAATGTGAGATGGTTTTTAGAATGCGGGCGTCTGTTTACTTAATGTCTGTGTTTTCAAGTGTTTGTTTCTCAATAAAACTAAACAGAACATTGTGAGAGAACAGCGGGATTTGATAAGCATAAATCCAAACAAACCAAATATTTGAGATACCGTGTGCAAGCGCAAAACTCGTCTCGCTTTCAGAAGCATTGGACAAAAAGGAGTATAATTCTGGTAGCCAGGACACTAAGACCATATCAAATACTCAAAGATAGAATTTGTTTGAGACTGGAAGACGGGGAAAAGTTCTAGTTGATGAGAATAAAACGGTATATTGCTGAAAAACAACAAAATAGAAGCTCAAATGTTCGTGGATCAAGAAATATGTTTAAATCGTGACCAAGTGGTCTAGAAATTAAATCGCTCAACTTCATTCAACATTTTCATTTATAATTGGTTCAGTATTAGAAAAAATAAATATCCCCAAGAGGTGATGCCATATAGAAATCCTTTCGCTTAATTGATTTCTTTTTGAAGGCGGCTCATCAACAGGAAAAGAGGTTAATGAAATTTTACTTTTAAAAATAGTGCTTAAGAAACATTTGGTGATTTTATGAGAATGCGATGTAACTTTGACATGAAGAAACTCCTACCTAGATACATAGTAGTTGTACATGACTTATTTTCCCAATCAATAATAATTTGAAAAATGTAACATAGAATTTTTCTCCAAAAGCCATAAGGATGCGGTTAGCAGTTGGACCAGCAGTCACGCCTATATTAGCGCAAGAAGCTTTTATACTTATACATCAAAACAAATGATTGCTGTTGGATTAGTACATTTGGGTTTTAATAAGCTAACTTCCTCGTCTGGCACGTTAAGAAGGCAAATTGTAAAAGTGTTGCATCGGATAGTAAAAATATGTAAACATTACATACATGTGCACGAGATGTCGTTGATTATACTTATTACTATATACACAATTTACACGCAATACACATTATACAGGCTATGCATAAGCCAATTCTCTGGTTGATGGTAGTCACACACAGTATGTTGCTAAAAAACAAAAGAAAATAGCAATTCAAAAGTGTCACAAAAGATCATAAATAAAGAAATGTGTTTAGTTCGTGTACAAGTATTCCAGAATAAGGTCGTTCAACTTTAGTAGATATTCCTGTTTTTTATCAACACAGTCACCTTCGCTGCATAGTAATTAAGAAACTCCTACCTATATACATAGTAACTTTGCACGACCTACTTACGTATTCAGTATAATAATATGGAAAAGGTAAAGCAAAACTTTTGTTCCTTTCTCGTGCAATTTTTATCCAAATTGGACAAAACGATGGAATTAACATTTGCAGTGGATAGTAACGGTCATAATAAGCGCAAGCAACTTTTAAATCGTAGAAAATGGCTGCTGTTAGATTCACACATTTGAATTTCAAGAACCTTCCTAGTGTCACACGTAGTTAAGGTTAAGCTAAAAGCATCACATCAAATTGTTAAAATAAGATGCATTTCATAGCTACTACGTATGTTAGAATCACACAAAAATACATAGCAAAATAGTCCTTTAAAAAGCCCCCAAATTATCGTGGATGACGAAATGTGTTTAGTTCAGTGAAAACGCCCTAGTTTGAGAATTGCAACCGGAGTGACGTGTGGTACTTCGCAAACAGTTGTAATTCTTAACTTTGAAGTTTTGGCTCCTTTCAATCCTTTGAAATCATCATGCTAGCTTGCCATCCGAGCTAGCTCGCCTCTATAAAATCAGGCCCTAAGTGTCCTGATTCGAGCTCATGCACTTTATAAAGCTTATGTATAATATCATATATGTGGCTGGAGTCACATTTAAATTACAAAAAAAATTGCAAAAATCGTGAAGTGTACGCAGAGAGAATATTTGTGAAATGCTATTCCAAAATAGGTGGCAGAAGTCTATTGTGGAACACATCGACATTTTTTAGATCTTCTTTCCTAAATCCGAGAGCGAGGGAACTCTCAAAGTTAGCTAGAATAGAAATACTCATTTATGTCATACTTTTGTATGTTGTTTTAATGGTGCTAATTATGCGAACGACAAAGCTGTTGAATATTTGACGTCCAACAACTAATTCGATTGATTCGATAATCACTTTAAATATACGTTGACTGTGAAGATTTTGCAATACTCTACCAGTGTATTGTAAATCTTTCTTAAAATGGATGTATTATAAAGAAGATTTCATTCGAATCTTACATGCATGATCCGAGGGCAAGAAGCACCTCCATTTTTCCTCGCATGTTGACAAGCATGCACGTTAACTGATTACTGCTAACTTCTATAACATAGCATTTTAACAATACTGAATGCAATAGAAATGCCATTCAGTTAACATGTAAATCACTTAATCGCAACACATCCTTCAATTCCAAATCTGTCAATCATATCTAACAATAAGAAATAGGGAAAGAATGTAGAAAACTTGAAAATCGAGAATGAAGAAGGATGTTTTGTGTCGAAAGATAATCTGTTGTACCATTTACTATATCTTGACGACGATTTCGCCTTCTGGAAATAAGAATACGTCAGCAATTAAATTGATGTTTAGGTATACTATGTCATTGTATATACGACTAAACATGTCCGTTATTCATAGTTCTTTTTTTATTTATCTCTTTTTTTTCAAGATTTTATATGATATCACTCGCCATTTTCTTCTGCGACCGTTCATTATGACATTTTCTTTTTCAATTATGTGGTATTGAATTGAGTATCTCAGACGATGGTTGTAATTGAAAAGATTATTTTGATATCTCAAGAGCAGCATGGATGTAATGTAAAAACACGAGCATTGATAAAGTATACGATAAGCAAAGCAACATTAACAGCGACATAAGCACAAATAAGCAAGTCTATAAGCATAAACTGAAGAATGAACAAAAGAAAATTCCGTTTTCTTTGTCTTTTTAAGATTCGCTAGAATAAAAACTTTAGATTTCTCGCTCATGCTTATCTATTTCAAACCATAGTTTTCTAAAATGTTAATCAAAGTGATGAATCAGTTTTCAAACCGACAAGTTAATCTTCAGTTCGATGTTTCTGTTTAGTAATTAGTATTAGTTAACTGTTCATCGTTTATCGGACAACCTTAGACCTTCATCATCATGCAACAAGAAATTATTTAAAGTAATGAACCCAGCTTTTAAGTATGAGTCATATGGCATTTCAATCTTACTTATCCTAGAAATGCCTACTTCTTAAAATCGATATTATTTTGACAATTCAAGTACAACTTAAACCTTACCATTACATCTTCGCAATCTTAGCTCGGGTATTACCGTCAAATATCCACGATCCCACACCAAGATCTTTGGAACGATTTATCACTAATCATTGTCCACTCTTTTTCATGCTTGGCACAGAACTTATATTGTCTTTAACAAGATGAAAAGTCATTTTGGAAGAATTTTCTGTACATCACTATCGTTAACTTTCCCAAACACAACACGACAGTGAAAATCAGTCCTTTTACTTCTAAACATCCTCACTCGACAAATGTCAACCAAATAATAACACGCAAGATCTCAGCTGTCACAGCGTATAAAACATATAACATGGAAATGAACTTTGCCATGCAAGTAGGTACTGTATATTTAATTAGCTAACTGGCTGCATTTAACAATTCATCGTTCCTATTGGTCAAAAAGTTAATTAATCATCACAAGCGTCAAAATATATACATAGCACGAAAAAGGGGGTGACTCTACTGTCATATTCCTTTTTGGGGTAAAATGTTAAAAAATACATGATCCACATACATAATCAGAATATATGATTGTTTAAAAGTACAATGAAGAGCAATACGCTGTGGAAATGATAAATCTGAAGAACGAGAGCTTTTGTTTATTGTTACTATCCTGTCAATCCAATTATAAAGCACACTCATTTTAAGTAGCTTTATACTTCCTAAAATTTTTTGCCGCCAAAATTGAAATTCAAAAGAAAATCGCAAGTTATTTCCACTATGAAAGTTAACAAGCATCGTGGACATCTTATCAATACAACATACGTAGGGAATAAATTGCTTCACGACATTTATGTTGTTGTTCAAACACAATATAATTTTCTACAAATCGTTTTCACCAGACGTCATGGCGGCCATGTTAGTGTACCAATGGAAAAAAATTTTAATGAAGTTAGTTTGCTTGGAATACCAGTATGGCTCATGGCTGCTTCCTTCATTGTCATGTTGATCGAGGGAATGACTGACAACAATGTACAATGGATAACATTAGCAAGAATTTTTAACCTCTCTTAATCTGCCTGTCAGCAAAGCGCAAACAAGGCAAGTCATCCATTGTTACAAGGTTTAAGATTCCCCATTCGTAATGTCATGAAACATGGTCACATGTTTGAATTTTCCTCACCAGTATAATAGTGATTTGATTATTACAGGCTTGTTGCTACATTTCAGATTCGAAATATTTGGATTTCGGGTAAATTATTATAAAGAAACATATTCAATGTATATTAGTCTATAGCTTTTAAACCCAAAACCTGAATATTGCCTGAATATTTACAAATGACGATTAATAAGCCCTTAACAACAGAGCTCGAGGTGTTTACGGAGAAATATCAGACTCAGGTGCTTTTGTACAGACCAAGCCCGTAGAGAGAGGTTTGCACATAAAGACAGAGGTCCGACATTTCTCAGTAAAGACCTAGAAAGAGAGGTTATTAAAAGGTTTATTATAAGGCATTATTTGACCTAAAACGAAGCATGCTTTCTTTCTCGTCTTTGCTGTTTTGTACAAGCTGACTTTCACTTTTCTAGTTCTTGTCAGAAAAAAGAAATCGTTTCAAATTGTATCGTATGGATAGTTAAACTGTTTTCCAAGAGCTTTTCTTTCAACTCACATTCGCAAATGGTTTTGATTCGCTGTCTTCTTGCGTTATGCTGTTTGCATTATGATGTTTGTTTACAATTGACTATAAAATTATGCGTTTTGGACCGTGGTCGATTACGGGAATGGACCGGCAAAAATCTTTCTGAGCCAATCAAAGCGCGCATTTTGCCTGAAGTGACGCTTGCCATATAATAATGCCACATAAACTTCACTCGTAATTTGCTTTTTAAACGACGTTGACTTTTGGCATTTTAATAGCGAGTATAAAACGCGAGTACAAAGCACTGAACATTAGCATCGACATAAGCCTACACAGTAAAAATGGATTGGTCAAAATGACCAAAAAAAATTGGCGATGGCCGCCGACGAGTGCAAAGATATATACAATGCTACCAATTTTTTTTTGGTTAAAATTACCAATATTTTAATGGTCAAAAAGGTTTGACCAATTTAAAAATAGGTTGTGACAAAAAAAAATGGTCATTTTGACCAATCTGTTTTTACTGTGTAAGCAAGCGTAAGCATATAAATCGAGTATAAAGCACTGAACATTGGCATCGACATAAGCCCAAGCGTAATCAAGACTAATCATTGAACTCAACCATGAACAAAAGAAATTTGCGCTCTTTTTAAGTCTCATGAGAGTAAAAATCTAAACGTATCTAGCTTATACTTGTTTCAGTAGTGTATATAAATCATTTTTAAATATAGCTACGTTGATCACATTATATTCGTTAAAGTTATATAAACAACATAGTTTGGTATTTTAAACGGCTTCAACCTTTGTCATTTCAATGTCCTTAAGTTTTAGTTGCACGTTTAATTTGCCACAAGAGCAAGAAGGGAAACTTCGAGGACTGGAAAACAGTGTTTTTCTCCAAGAATTTTGATTGCTATTAGCGTACTTAACTATTTTATTGCATTATGGAGAGCGTAGTGTTTTACTCCTCCCCCATGGTGCAAAAACGAAGGCAATGAAATTGGTAACCAGATAGGTGATTCTAAATTTTTTCCATCGCCAAATCTTGGAACATGGAGAGGACTGTCATCGAAACACGGGGAAACGATCAGTTCCACAATAGAATTCGGCCAGCTGTCTTCCCATTGGTGTTGGGCCGGAAAAAGCCAGTTGTTCCTTGGCAACCACGCCACCAAACATGAAATCTGCCCTATCATAAGAAAATGAAAAGTCTGAGTTGCCACTGGTCGAAAAAGTCCGATGGCTTTTTAGCGGGGATTGGGTACTAATAACTAAAAATATCGTTTTAAATTCAATCAATTGAATCAAACAAGGAGAATCTGCATATCAATCATTATTACATGCTAGAGGTAGAATTGAAACCTTTGTCTTTCTCAGTTTGACATTATTTTTGTTTTATAAAAAAATAAAAGACGTTTTTCGTGTTTGCACTGGCTTATGCAAACCTCGGAGACATTTGTCAGAGCACTCGACCTTCGGTCTAGGGCTTGCACTGATCTGCTCTCGGGTTCTCCTAAAGATCTCCTTGGTTTGCATAAGCCTGTGGTGCAAACACAGTAAACATCTTTTATTTTTTTATTGTACAGTACAATAATATTAAAGTTAGCCTTACTACAAATATTTATTCCTCAGATTTTATTGTCCTCCCATTACTCTATTAATTTGTAGCTACCTGACACAATCCAGTAGTCTTGAAGCAACCCTCTTCCTTCTATATTGTTTAAACACCCATATTCTACTGATTCCACAGATAGCGCGAGTCGGTTTGGAGCTGAAGAAGAGAAATACTCCAATGAATAAGCTGACATAGAAAAAATATTCGAAAAGCAACAGCAACTACAACACATTCATCACTTTGTCAACAAACTAAATGCGCTTATACAACATACGTCCGTGTACAAAACCAAAGAGCCTGAGTACGAGCTTTTACGTCGTTGAAAAATCTATGTACAAAACAGCTCACCTACAGCACCAAGCAGACATATCTGAACTTTTTGTCTCTCTCTCTTCATATGGGTAAGGCAGAAGGGAAAAAGCCTTGTAAAACAATTTAAAATAACAGTTTAGGAATGTACTAAATACATATAATTGTCACGATTTGTCAGACGTCAAAAAAGATGAATTTTTCGCGTAAAAAATAAGATCACCTCTTCAATATGAACGGCTACAACGCATCCGACGACTTTCTTGCCTGCGACAAATAGATAGGTCTGGAAAAAATCACGGCATAATTAACAGTTTAACTGTTTTCCAAGTGTTTTACAATCGAATCACATTCGTAAATGGCTTTTGTTTCGTTTATTTTGCGTTTTGCTGTTTGCTTTACGAAGTTTGCTTACATTTGACAGTAAAACTATGCGTTTTGGACGGTGGTCGATTACGGGAAAATAATGGACTGGCAAAAATGATCTGAGCCAATCAAAGTGCGCCATTTAACCGGAAGTGACGCTTGCCATATAATAAACCATTTTTAACTTTTCATATTGTAAGATAGTTGTTCATATAATGATCTGCAATTGTTCCTCTAAAATGTGTTACATCTTCGTTTGCTGGATGCTCGTGGCATCTGTCTCTACCAACGCAATTAATTTCTTGGCCAACATGTACAAACCTCATAATAAGGGGAATGACTGTAACAAAGTCATTCTTATACGTCATTCTAAGATTCAATCCGCCCAAAGCTCCGTTGACATGTTCTGCAAATTCATGGTTACCAACCCTAGGCGAGCCTAAGGTTATCAAATCGACACGATGTCCAGCATTGACTAAATCAACTGTTGCTAAAGTCGCCATTGCCCCACCAAGTGAATGACCTGTCACTAAAACTCTAGCGACGGAATAGTCGTCAGATAAAGCGCTTACTTTCTCAAGCATTTGGTCTTTCAGTGCATTATAAGACTGAAAGAATCCAATGTACACTTTGCAATCTTCGCAACCAGAATATCTTTGTTTGAAGAACTTGAGATTTCTATACCAGTCAGTAAGGTCTTTAGAACCTTGAAAAGATACAACGATTTTATTTCCGTCGTACTTGACAAAGCCTTTCAACCTTGTTTCAGTAGGATTTACTGCTTCGTAGGCCTCTTTTGCATATATTGAGGCATTTCGAATCGCTGACAATTTCTCGGGTGGTAAAGGACGAGTGTTCTTCTTGTGTATGACAGGTCCAGTTGTGGAACAAAAATTGCCAGTTGGGCACTTTCGACAAAATATATTTCCTCTTTTGTCTTGATACGATCCTTCACGACACTTTACGGGAGATTTATTCTTCCAAAGACAAGAATGACCAACTGGACAAACTTTGCATTTTGATTGTCCAGTTTGAGGATTGTATTCTCCAAACTTACACGATTTGCAAGATGTTTGACCTGTTAGGTCTTGATATTTTCCTTTGCCACATTTTACAAAATGTGATGCATTATTTATCAAAGGACAGTAATGACCAACTGGTGCATCACAACCTGAAGACTGATAAGCTCGCACAAAAGAAGTTATACTTAGAAAAATTATGAAAATCGTCATCTTTTTATTTTTGAATCAAATCAGAGACGCATGCATATCAATTGGCATTTATATACTCAGCATAAAGCTTAAGTAATTGCTCTATTGACTGGAACGGAGTCAAACACGTACCAGTTCGTTCCGGTCGCGGTCAATAGTATCTAGGAAAAAGTTTTAGTCACGCTGTTTGTTTGATTGAGAGCCGTAGCAATTTTTCCTGTACCTTTAATGTCATGATTTTAGATAAGTACATTCATAGTAGAGTAAGAATGTTAAATCTTAAGGAACGTTGTTTAAATTGATGTTTTTTACAGGTTGTTCATTGTCGCAAATTTTTTTACTTAGAAGCAGTGATTACGTACTTTAATGATTATTTTAATGACGTAACCTACAAAAACCTAAGTTTGAATGTAATCAGTCATGCATGTAATCAGAAACATGAGAGAATCTCGAAACACTTCACACTTAACACGCGTTGTCTGGTATAAAATTTGCGTGTCTGGAATAAAATCTTGTTTTCTAAAAATTGTTAGACTTTTCTATTACAGGTAGCGTACTATTATACATGGTAGCGTCTCTTGCTATGATCAATAAGGCCTGTTTCAAACGTCACATTTTAGATGAGCCGAATGCATTTAAGACAAAAGATAATAAGGATTTTATCACATTATCTTTTATTTTAAATCAATTTGGCGTACGTATTATTGATTTCTATAAAAATCTATTGTTTTTTACAGTATAACTAAACATTGAAGAATTTTTATAGCACACGACCAAACCTGCGGGCTGGCTACGCAACAGGCAAAAATAGCTAAATATTTTCCTGATCTGCCAACTCCTACATGGTTTTGATTTCCATACAGTTTACCTGACATTTGATGACCGTTCTTCCCCCTTGACGCAGGTCCCAAAACCCCTGTAATGCTAAAGGATCTTCTGTAAAACTTAAGTGTTAAGTATGATTGGGATTCGTACTGCTTAATAAATGCAAATATTTATGATTTTTTTTAAAAACATATATCCTGTTTCTAAGTCACATGTACAAGCATTTGATGCGTAACGGACTAAGCATATGATCGATAAGTTTCCCTTCGATCTCAGCCGGATTAATTATAGGGATAGTATTTCTTCATGTTTTACAGCGTCACGGTGTTGAAGACTTTCAGGTATTCTTTACCTGATAAGTTTTGATTTCTTGCGATAGGCTTAACATACTCATTTGAACATTTTCAAATAGGTTTGACGACCAATTAGATTCCGTTTTGCTTTAGCTGGGTTTTCATGCTATACATGCACGTGTCTACAAAATCTTAGATATTGAAACTTGTCCTGAACTAAAAGTCTCACAACAAATTTATATATTAAAATATAAGATGGCCGACAAGCAACTGCAAGAGCGTTAAAATATAACTAAAAATATACGTAGATTATACCTCTTACCGAATGAAATACCACAACGTGGTTCACCAACACACTCTGAAGATACTACGAAAACACTTCAACTATCTTTTTTGTGTTCACCATACACAATTACGACTCACTGTCAACGACCAATATTTTTCAGCTCCTTCTATAACAATTTCCATCAGGCTTTATTTAAAAAGCGTGACTGCATTGCATTTTATACATTTATTTAATAATAACATGATAACATGTTGCCAGTTCAACCTAAACACACTATCAAAAGCTCTTTGTCCGATGACTTGTTTATACTATATCAAGTGCATATTACGTCACATAACTAACCCTTATGACGCAATTAAGATGTATCATAACACAATTTTCATACATCTACTACATTAATCTATTCTTCATTTTCTTATATTGTAAGATAATTTTTCATAAAATGGTCGGCAATATTTTGTCTGACATGTGTTACATCTTGGTTTGCGCAATATTCGTGGCATTTGTCTTATTTGTCTTTACCAACACAATAAATTTCTTGGCCGACATGTAGATAATTCATATTAGGGAGAATGACTGTAAGAATGTATCCTTATACGTCACTCTGAGATTGCATCCCTCGAAAATATCGTTGACGTGTTTTTTAAATCCTTGGTTAACAACACTGGGTTATTAAGGCAGGACATTCTGTTGATTTAATAACTGGCCAAAGGTTATCAAATCGACAGAATATCCTGCCTTTTTCAAATCGACTGCTGCCAAATTCGCAATTGTTCCACCAAGTGAATGACTTGTCAGCAAACTCTAGAAGGGGTATGTTCGTCAGACAAAGCGCTTACTTTTTAAAGCGTTGCCCCTCTCAGTGCACTATGAGACTGAAAGAATCCAATGTGTATTTGGCAATTTTGACAACCAGAATAGCTTTGTTTCAAGAGCTTGAGATTTTTATACCAGTCATGTAGCAGCGTCATAAGAACCAACTCGGCAAAATGTTTTTTCTTTTTGTTCTTAATGACCTTTACGACACTTTACAGTTAATTTATTCTTCCAAAGACAAGAGTGACAAACTGGACAGACATTGCATTTTGATTTTCCACTTTGAATATTATATTATCTTTCTTTACACCACGTGCAAGATCTCTTGCCTCATTCGTCTTGATATTTTCATTTGCCACATTTTACAAAATATGTTGGATTATTTATCGAAGGACAAAAACGACCTTCACACGCAAAAGGCTGATTAGCCTGAACAAAGGACGATATGCTTCGAAAAGTTATAAAACCGTCATCTTTTTACTTTTGAATCAAGTCATGCAGATTCTCGTGCATGTCATTGGCATTATTTACTCTACATAAAGCTATAGTAGCTAATTAATTGCTTTCTAGACTGAAACGAAATCAACCGGTACCAGTTCGTTCCGGTCATAATCAACAACATCAACGAAAATATTTGGTAACGCTGTAATTTTTCGAGCACAAGATTGTAATTGTCATTATATGAAAGTAAGAATTATTGTCTTAATTGTTGCAGCTGAGTGCTTTGAAACTCTCAGAAATTAACAATTAGCTTATAAACAATCGAACAATCCTAAACAATCTCAATTAAATATAGTTATTTGTATCAAATCCAGAATTCATTTTTCCTCTTTCATTCAAAGCAAAAATCGAATTCAACTTTTCGTTTTCGCTTCTTGGTGTTTGACAAAACTTGAAAATTGAAATTAATTGTTGTTTTTTTTTGTTTCTCAAGTTGTCGTTCATAAACACACGCTGAAATACTACACCACACATGTCTTTACTTTTCACACGACGTTAATCCATGTGGAGTAAGCGTAAAATTAAAGTTTTGTGTATAGAAATAACAAATCAGCAGCAAATCAAATTATTATTACGGAAAAGGATATTTCGTTGAGAAATTTCTGTCAAATGGAAACAACACAGTGCGTGACCTCTCAGATTTTCTGAAAGAACATCATCATTCTTAGAGCAGCACTCAATTTCCATTGATAAAAAAAGGCAATTTCCACTTACAATTTACATTTGAGAACTAGTCGATTTATTTATGATTGTTATGAAATAAACAACATATCATTTGAAAGCAAAATAGCTACGCTTTTTTTGCTATGCAAAAATAAAAACGTAAAACATAATATCAAATGCACGAAATATATTTCGATCACTGTACAAAGATAAACATGCCTTTTTTGCTAAAAATCACCACATTGAGTTAGGTGGATGACACTTTTAAGATCAAAATTTTATAGCTACTCTATGCAATACTTTTTCAACAATTACGTTTAGAGATAAACATTGTATGCCCTGGTCTCGGTCGACAAAATGCTACGTATAAATAATAATTTGATTAGCTGCTGATTTGTTATCTCTTTACACAAAACCTTAATTTTACGCTTACTCCCACCTGTGGTGTTATATCAAGTTTCGTCAAACAACAAAAAAAACAAAAAAACAGATGTTGAATTAGATTTTTGATTTGAATGAAAAACGAAAAACTTTTTGGTTTGATTTCTTCAATATGATTATCTAATTTCAGCAAAAAACGTTTAGCGGTCCGGAATGGTACACGCATTAGAAACGATATTCAAAGACATGATTTAAAAAAATTATCTAAATTATTTACATTCGCAACACTCCAAACATTATCAATCTCAAACCGGACAAAGGCAATGGCGTTGTAATCATGGATCATCAAATGTATCGTAAATCCTGTCTTAAAATTATTAACAATACAGGAAAGTTTACCCCACTCAAAGAAGACGTCACACTATCACGTGAACCCAAACTGCAACGACTGTTAAGGAAACTTCTAAAGAAAGACTCGATCAACAACAAAGTTTACAATGAGATCTTCTCCGGAGGTTCTCAACCCTCACGCTTCTATGGCTTACCGAAACTCCACAAGAAACGAAAACCAGAACAATCGCCTCCACTACGACCGATAGTTTCAACTTCGTTTCAAAAATTCTTCATCTCCTACGACGTTGGAAGCTTATTTACTGACATACCACTTACTGAAGCCATCAACCTAGCAATTGACGTAATATTCACTCACAACCCCAGGTTCAGTGTAAACAGGACAGACCTCACACAACTGTTTTTAATAGCAACAGCACAGACGCATTTTTCGGAAAAACATTTTCTCATTCAAAAACCCAATCCCTGATGCAATCAAATCAATGGTGGTATATGAATTCAATTGCGTGGGATGTAATTTCCGATACATTGGCGAAACTTCGCGCCATTTATCCACCAGAATCAGAGAACATACCACAACAGACAAAAACTCTCATATCTACCGACTCCTTCTTAATTCTTACTCATTTAAAGCCAACTATCCACCCTTTTGCTTCAAAATCATCGACACTGCCGACTCCTCATTCTCCCTTAAAATCAAAGAAGCACTCCACATTAACAAAACTAACCCTGACCTCAATGTTCAAGTTTTTAAATTCAATACAATATTTAGTTTATAATGCGCTCGTACGCTCCCCATTAATTCATCTTATTTCCTTTTTATTGTTTTAATTTATGCATCATATTACTTTTATATAAACCTTGTATTATTTATTATTTCACTTATACTGAAGATGGCATCATGAGATGTCGAAACATGTCTATTTTAAACATGGCGTAACATGTCGTTCGCAAACGTTAGGCATCCAACTCGCAGAATATTTTGTTTTTTCGTTTTTAAACGCCATTTTGTTACTTCCTCATCAACTGTGCATAATTGTGAGTAGAAAAATAAGAATAATTGATGAAGGTTTTAACAAAGCACAAAATGTGAAAAACCATTAATTTTTTGTGAAATACTACACCCGACCAGCTTAAGACCCAATTAGAGCGACATGTCTTTTGTCAACAAAGAGTTTATCAGTTTGATATGTTTATACTTGAATGAAAAACGATGATTAACGATTAACTTACAACAATAATTTTTGATTATGATTAACGTAATTAGGTTGTGCATAAAAAATTGTATTGCATTATTCACGGCTCGTTATACATGCATAGTGCCATATAGTATTGCGCACTTTATTTAAATGTTATCTTTTGCAGTATCGACGAACCATTTATAAGATTGTCACAGTCGTCGAGTACTTGGAATGTTTTGAATACTTTGAGAAATCAACTTAAAACGAATTTTGTCACTTATGCTGCGACCTCGTCCGACTTCAGACCTGAGCCTCAACGGATTTACAGAAATCGCCTACAAAAAAAGTGCTGGAAACAGAGAGCACAAAGCCATTGGAATCCTGCCCTTCATCTTTTTTGCCTTATAAATATGTTTTTAATTGCTTGAGCTTGAGACGAATCAAACGTTTTTTATATTCGTATATAATCCGAAAAACTTCACATATAGTTAAGGCAGTATAGTAATACTTTCTGTTTGACTGAATTATATTTACATGATTTTTCAAATTTTACAGTTATTAGCTATTTTGCAAGATTCTTCTTCACGAGGATTGGATTTGTTGTTTTCACCTCTTAAATGCACTTACAATAACAAACATAAGAGTAAGAATATTGATGTCTCCTTGTTCCAAGTGAAATTGTGTCTCCGTAAAAAGTACAAATCCTTGTACATTGAACTGGACATTGAATGAAAACGTAGCAAAAGCTTATGAACAACAAGATGCAACTCACATCAATGTTTATGCTTAATTATAAGCATTTTTTCATACAGTTTAAAAGGTAACGAACTTCAGTATTTATGAAGTAGTATATAAAACTGCTAAAAACACCTTGAGAGATATAGCAATAAATTTAGTCAAGGACACGTAGAAGTGTTTGCATGCACTTCATTTACCGGAAAAAATCTCAACTGTTTTTGGGTAAAATGAGCATGATAAACATCATGGTATATGTGCTAATTCTTCAATTCGGGACAAAAGTAACTTCAGAAAAAAAAGAAATAACCTTTCCGAAGACTTTAACATGTCTAAAAGGTTTACTTTTAGGGATAGTCATAGAAGAGAAAATTTGCATAAAATCAATAATTACGAAGAAAATTACCATATATGCACAAACTCTAATCAAATGAAATTTTGTAGGAAATTGACAAATATTCTTAAATTTTAAGATTTTCCGGAAAAATAATATGAGATGAAAAAGAAGACTGTATATAAAATTAGGAGCACCCCGGGGCCCCTGGAACCTGCTCATACCCCTAGGCACCTGCCAAAAACACCTCGGTAAAATTCTATAGCTAAAAAAAGTTTAAATCAGATTGTCTAATCACAAACTATGATAACGCAATTAAAATATAAGCAATTACTTTCCCGTCCAATGAGCGAAAAATACATAATTAGGCTTTTTTAAAACCGTTCAGTTAATGGGAATTAGATTTCGATTAACTTGCCGATGCACCTTTACATATACTGTGAAACAAAGTAAGGCTGCTTCCAGTTTTCTTTTAGTGCATGATGTTTAACATTGAAAATAACATTGTCATTGGGACAATACGATTATTTTTATGATATAAATATGGTTGAAATGAATTCTTAATACATGATTAGTGTTGGCTAGTTAAGTGTTCTTTTTTGTCCTGTGTGGTTGTTCTTTAAACAATGAAAATTTGATCTCTGCCAAGATTGTTT